GGGTTTGTGGGGGGGGGGTGGGGGTGGGGGGGGGGCATTGGTGGAAAACTGAGTGTTAACACGCATCCTGTAGACTACACCTGTTCAGGCACCTATGCAGTTCTGGATTTACAGGTTCTGTTCTGTTTGTCTGTGCCCTTCCACCGTATTCCTGAGGGGAATGAAGATGCAAACTTACTTAATTTTTTACCAGCCTACACAGCATCCATTTCTCTCCTTGCTGAAATTAAAAATGTAATTTAAATTTCTTCAGTTATTTTTTTGAAGACTAATAAAAGTTCTCTCACAAAGTAGTAACTCCTTGTTTGTGGATCTGCAATAACTTCCTATACTCTCAATGCTTGTATCTTTGTCTCTGTAACCCTCCCTTCCACAACTTCGGTAAAAGTATGAGCAGGTAATGCTCCTAATGGAGCTGCTTTTCCCTCATGCCAGTGTTTCAGCCAGCAACTGCGAAGTGTAAACAACAACTTAAGAACTTTCTGTGTATCTCTTCATGTCTGGGTTAGAATCCCTTGGCCAATGTTGTGTAATGGCTTTTTGCCTGCTGCTAGTGAATTATGAACCGTGCTATCATCTTTATAATGCCCATAAGTAACCACTTCTGCAGCATAGTATCAATACGTATCTACAAATCCACAGGCAGAGACTGTTAAAATGCACAGCTGCAGTCCTCAACAGGCTGCGCGGGCTTGGGGATTGACATACCTACTTCTCCCCTGGGGAATGCCTCTACCTGGACACTCAAATATTTATTTTCATGCCAGGTGATACTATTAACTTGAAATGCTTCTACAGTGCAGAAAAATTCACCTGTTGATGTTTCTATCTTTGAGGTGTTAACAACTATTAGTTCTCCTTTACTCTTTTTAACCAACTGTACTGTGAATACTGTACATATTTTTCATCAAACATTTCAATTCATATAAAAATATTCTGTTCAGATGAGCAAGCACTGTCCTTTTCCCACTCCCAAAACATAAGGGTTTCAGAAAAAAGAAAATGGCTGGCTATTTCTACCCCGTTTTTGCCCCTGTATCCCTACTTTTCCCCCTCCCTCTCTTCCCCGAATACAAAATATGCTTAAGTGCAAATATCATATCATTTGCTGGGAAACCAGCTGCTGCTACATCAGAAATTGGACTTCTGCACAGTGGTGATGCATGTGGCAGTTGTAAATATATTCAAAAGATTGTCTAAGCATGGACTAACAGCAAGACAGAGCTATGCAGTGTGCTAACTTCACAGCATAAGATTGATTAGATCCATTTTGAAGCTTTTCTGCCTTCCTCTACTAGGCTATAGCTGTCGGAGATTTTTCCCCCTAAGCCCAGTGTTTCAAACTGTATCCATCTACAGTTATCACTGGCATACCACATAACCAATAGAAACATGAATAATTTCATGATAAAGTAGCATTTTACAACATGAGGTCTAAGAAGGGTCTGATTTATACTGCCTGGTGTAGATTGATGACACAATGAAATGCAAAAGTTAATTGGATTAATTAGTTTACAATTAACTGTTTCAGACAAACAATTTATACAACATAAAAGCCAAGTTGCCGCATAAAATTAAAACCAAGTGAAAGTAAATTCAGATATCACCAAGCAGCCACTTAATTAGATGAGATGTGCAAGCTAAGACTTCCAGGATATTAAGTGCTGAAGGGCTACATACAGCAGCATACAGCACTTCAGAAGTTTTAAAAGCTGCTTACACTGAGAAATCGGTTTCTGTCCCACTCAAAAAATGTAAGAATAGTTAGTATGAGAAACATTCACGTATCATGAAACTTGGTACTTGCCTGCCATGTCAATAGCAAAGGGCCTGTCAGCTCTCCAGCCAGTGTACCAGCCAACAACTTTGCCGTTTTCCACAACTGGGCGCTCGTACCGTCGTCCTCCTACCAGTCCCACGGGCCACACCGATACTTTGCGGGTTGTACGCATCTGCAAGAGGCAGGCACAGCATGGCTGCATGCACATTTTCCTAGCGGGCTTTTTTGGTAAGTGTTGGTGGAAAGCCTACACATTAATCTAGACTAGGTATTTAAAAGCAATTCTAGCTTACGGATTTCAGCCCAGCAGAGCGAGTACTTGAAAGCTGCACGTGCCCACTCATTTTCTGTGACATCTCCAGCTCTCTAGCCCATAGGCACCTCAACTCTACTGAAAATATCCTATTCATATTTTTTATAACAAAAATTTTAAAAGCCATGAAAAAACAGTATTTGTTTTCTTGTTTGTTTGGGTTTTCAAAGGTGTAGAAGATCTTTTTTATCTGCAAGACTGTAGCATTCTCGCAGTAGGCTTATTTCTATAGATTGCTGAGGTATTGTACAAGCCCAGCGAGAGAGAATATTATAATAATCATTAACAAAGACACACTTCATTAAGACAAATACAATTAGTTTGAGACTGGTAACAAATACACTGAGGACAGGAAATTGTGACACACAACTCTTCCCCTACCTGCGACATACCAGGTTTGTACAACAGATGCAGCTCAGATCTATTAAAGGCTCACAAAAAAAAAGATTAAGTTTGGGCTAAGCCTTTTTAACCTCTACATTTTCTCTTGAAAAGCTCTGCTAAGTTTCCGAGAAGGACAGAAAGCAGGTCAGGCAGGATGCTTCTGCTAGTTTGCTACCAGTAACGGGAGTTTTTCCTGATGGTGTAAATGTAACTAAATGCAATTCTGGAAACGTGGTCCTCATCTAACCTAGAGGAATCTATAGGTACTAAAAAATTACTCTTTCTTTAGCAAAAAGCGTGCGTGACTGGGAGTCTGAATTCAGTTCACTGGTTAGACGACCATTTTCTTCAGTAAACAGGAGGTAACACGACATGAACCCTGACGCACTGCTCCCCATGGGAAAATCACTGACAGTCTGGCGTGAGAACTTGAGAAGACGAGTGCACAGACACAGCAACTTGCACAATTTAACCACACTGATTCAAAAGCCACTGTTTTAATTAACTACTGTGCTTAAATATGGTCCTGTTTAAGCAAGTATTAAACTCTGAGTGTAACGTGGGCTTAATTTGATCAATTTTTAAAACAATCTCTTGTCTGCTGTTGTAGTTGAGGCCTATTCCTTAGGGAAAGGTTATCCCTTTCTCCTTCCAAGCACTCCTCTTAGCAAAAACAAACACAGTTTTACATATTTGTAACTGCAGTCCCTATCGGTAGATGTTGAAGTAAGAGACAACCTTGGTTAAATATTAAACACTTCCCTCTCTTTCTGCCAAGGTGAAAGATTTATCATGCATATCACCTAGACTCCCAGGAGATGCACCAGAAAAAACAAAGACGTCATGTCACTCTGGTTCACATTGCTAAGCTAGAAACATTAGCAGATTCTTAGGAGAACTTTCACATAGGGAAGGCATAAAATACATATTTAAAAATCCACAAATATGTATGAACACATAGAAGAGAGGCATGCACCTTTTCTCCCTCCAAATCTTTGTGTATCTTTAAATTTGTTTAGCAAAATTTTCTCACTTCCACCCTAATAAGTGTTGCAGCAAGTCAGACCATCTCGCCAGTAGCAGCACTCCACGCTGTGTAAGAACAGGGTATGTATACAATTGGCAACATAGGGATTTCTCGTGATGAGGATTCTATCCAAACCATTGACGATTTAATTGCCAGCGACAGACTGCCATGAATCTCTCTACAGGTCATCGTTAAACGTGCTTGTCTGTAACTGTTCTCCCTGCTTAAGATTATTTTTTCCAATCTCTCCCACTCCTCCATTTAGGAAACGCAGTTAGCAATTAACTATTTGGATATGGAAATCAGTCAAACCTTCTCATGAAGATCTTTTAGCTCTGGTTTTAACGATACATCCATTTCACAAATTTTTCTAACGGTGTATTTATATTAACATCCAAACACATCAGACATGGACACAGGGCATCATCCTGTTGGGCTTGTCTACACAGGCAAGTTTCCAATAGGTTTCCAAGGGCATGATGCAGCCACATACCCCCAACTCTGCTACACCAGTATTAACCGCAGGACGAACACAGATGCCCACTAACTTTTTTGTGTTGCCATTAATACCTTCTGAAGGGTATGGATATCTGAACAAATTACTAGTGTACTGATTTACAGCATTTTAACTACCCTGTGCCAACTGCCCATGGTAAACATGTGTACCCGTGGTAAACATGAAATGCCGCAAGACAAGGGCAGGCACGCTCTAACTACAAGAGAGTAGCTAACGCATGGTAAGCCCATACCCTGCCTTTTCTCACGGTAAGCATTTGGGCAGCTGTACTGCAAAATGAGCCAGATCACACAAGACTTCTGAATTGGGTCAACAGCAGCCACAGCATTTACACTAGCAGAACCAGACTGATTTATATTAATACTTTACCATACACAATGTGTAGGAAAATCTTGTCAATGAAAAGCATCTCACTGGCCTCATGAAACCAGCACGAAATGACCCAAGAAGCTTTAATTATTACAGTCTTGGGGCCATCTCAGTGTCTATGAGTTAAGTCACTAAAGCCACCACACATCAGAAGGAAGTAAGTAATCCTTTACAGAGCTCTTTATTTTGTCCTTGGGTTCCTTTCTTTATTCTCACAGGTTACATTTTTGGAGAATGAAAGAAGCAGGTGTCAAGAATACAGCAATCCCTTTAAGTAAAAACTGAAAGAGCACATCTAGACCGGTATTTATGCTAATTCTGAAATACCTTACAGCCTCAGGATATGCTAGGCAGATGAAAATAGGAATATTTCTTTTAATCTTCTGAGAATAGCATTACTGCAGCTAACATACTGATGCATTAAGGCTGTATTTATGTATGATGGGGAGAAAGCTATTATTTGGATTAAAAGGCCAGCCTGCATCTGGAATTTGATGCTGCTAATCATCAGGACACAAAAAGGTGATTCAAAAAACATGTTAATTCTAAATAGCTTTATCACTGTGGGTTGAACAACTGCCAAAATCCCGTATCTTACAAACAGCTTCCTAAATTACTCTTCTATCTGTGATTTTGATGTGCAGTAGCACATGCTGTCTTAATACTTAGCATTTTAAGTCCTAGTAGCTTACATGAATGATATTCATCTTACTTACACTTAACTCTCTAAGTTAGGCACCTGGTCTATCCTAATTAGTTTTCTATAGTTAATGAACAGTAATAGGAACCTACTGATATGATTCATCCTGCCTGGCTTAGACAGCTGTCTTAAGGTAGGATGAACCTCGCTCTGGAAATGCTTTTGTCCTCTATTAACTTTTTGATTATTTGAAAGGGGCTTTTGAGCATAGGAGGAGAGTGATGTACTAGATGGGGGGGATGAGAAAAGGACTCTCTAAGATGGTAGAACAAACCTGAATGAAGCGGGGGGGACACACTCGGGAAGGAGTGGGCAAGGAAATGACAGGAGAGAGGAGTAACAACTGACCAAAGAAATCCCGGTGAGGTGACGGGCATATAACAGTAAATACAGTAGCAATAGAGGAACCACTAAAGAATAACAAGTGAAAATGCAGAAAATGTAGATGAGCAATAAAAGATAGTGATAAAAGCATTGCAAAAAATAGCATCTCATTAGTCAATCAAGAAAAGCTGCATAATGGGATGTGCTGGACTGATGGATAGGGAAGATACCAAGCCAGTAACAAATATAAAAGCTATATATAAAATATAGCTGAGCAATAAAAGATAGTGATAAAAGCATTGCCAAAAATAGCATCTCATTAGTCAATCAAGAAAAACTGCATAATGGGATGCACCGGACTGATGGATAGGGAAGGTACCAAGCCAGTAACAAAATATAAAAGCCCAAGGGGAATGAAGGCAAATGACAGACAGAGGAAACATGGCCATACTTCTTACAGTGAAAAGGCTTCCAGACTGGAACAACCATCCTCGTGTTTTTGCAGCATGATGTTGATGCGTTTCTATTCGGGATTCAAAGCTCTCAGCACATGCAAACCTAGCTGCCACACATAGTAAGCTTTTTTCCTGCCTCTGTTCCCTATCACTTCAACCCTTGTGTCATTTATGATCTCTACTAGACAGGCTACAGGTTTTCGTCCAGGCTCGCCTCCCGCCGCGCCCCCATCCCAGTGAGACTCAAGCAGATTTCTATGCAACAGTCCAATTTATTATTACCAAAGATGGGATCTAGAGCTCCTTCACTACAACTCTTCCACAGGGGAAAATGTTACGGGTTAAAGCACGAGCACAGCCAGGTTCCCTATCAGTTCTCACACAGGCATCCTGCATTACTCACAGGCCAATTAAAGCCAAATCCTGCTTCAATAAAACTTACGTGACTGCACTACAAGTCAGAGGGATAGCTCAGCCGCAGCAATGCTATGCCTGTTTACTTAGGCATTACACGGAGCTTCTGCCCCTACTTACCGTTACTTCAAAGGAGGTACTGAGTCATAGAAAATCTGTGCCAGTGGTTTTTGTGGTTCAGGGACTGTGACGCTTAGGGGACAGTAACTTCAAAAAGCAAGTTTGTTGTTGGTAAACTTGACTGTAAAGGGTACGTCTCCATGGGAAAACTTGTAGAAAGGGTCTACAAATCAAAAAAATTGTCAGTCATCGATCAGCCTGCTCTACAACCCTCACTGGTGATCTGATTTAGTGCTTCACCATCCTCACTATTAGAAAACTTTTTTCCAAACATCTGCCTTAAACCTCCTCTGCTGATTCGTACCCAATCTACACTGCAGAGGGAGGATAGATTAATTCCCCTTTCTCTCAAGCAACGTTTTACATATCAGATACGATGATTAATGCTTCTAAATTATACCAGCATCCTTGGGCACAAATGTCAATATTGCTTCCCCACAGGAGAAAACTCTGCTAAATTTAACTAAAGCAGTTAGGAGCCAATTTCTCTGGATTGGGAAGACTTCCAAAACATTTGCTATTCATGTTTGCTTTTGGCCCTTCTACTTACTAATTCTTTTTCTCATCCTACTTTCTATTTTTCTACTAGGTCATGTTCACTGTCCCTCTGAAGAGCTGCTGACCGTTCTCAATTAGTTTCATAGCAACAGTATTAGTTTCACAGGTAAGAAAAAGACTGCTGTCAAAGTGCAGAAACAGACAGTGCTTGGTACTTTGTAACCCACAGTCCCTCACTTAGATAAATCTGTTTCAAATAGCCTTTTTTGTCACTGTTTCCTCTCATTTTTAAGCTATTTCATTGTTTCTCTACCAGTCTTTTCTAATCCAGCTGCCTTAGCATAGGTATTACCTGTCTACGGGCAAGGGGAATGACAGTGTGCGTTTAAAATCTGTCATGTATTCTTAAATCATTTATATACTAGAAAGGTATTTAATGCATTGCTAACTCTATTTACATCCTTTTTTATTATGAAGAAAATAACTAATGACTGCCAGCTAATATTTAATTGTCTAGACTACTGAATGTTATTTTTAAGACTACAGCAAAAATTTGTTTTTCCAACCAGCTCCAAGATACACAACAAAAGATCTCCATGTTTTCAAAGATAAACAGATTCACTTATACTACTTCTAAATATTTTGCATAAATATATCCATTAAAAAAATACACAGAAGTTAACTTAACACAGTGTATAAAGATTAGGACAGTTATGTAAAAGTTATGGAAAGAGCACTAACCCTTTCCTACTCAAACTTGGAATAAACAGTAAATATTCACCTCTTCAGTAATGTCTTTTCTGAGTTGCTCTCAAAATATTTTACAAAGATGATCATGGGAAAACTGAAGCCTGTGTGACATGTAATGGCTGCAAGTATTTCTGTTCTATTTCTAATAACAAGGATTTATTTTTTCAGGCTACAGACTGTTAAGAGCCATTAGAATATCT